TCGTATCTTGCTTAAAAATTTAAAAAATAAATTAATATATCTAATATTCAGAAGGAAAAATGTTTATCAGAAAAAAAAATTTAATATAACATGTGTACTGTTAAAAAAGAAAAATTTTGAAGTCTTATTTTGGAATAATAGCATTGTTAAACTAAAGAAATCTGAATCCCATGCACTTTGCGTTTCCTATTTTGCTTACCGACAATTTGAATTTTTGCCGCCAACAATTTGCATAATTCCCGCCAAATCGTCCGCTTGGAAACATGTGCGGTCCGACAAAATGGTCCACGCGAAGGTATTACGTTACGCCCACGTAATATACGGCGTTAACGCGAGAATGTTAAGAGCTAATGGACCAACTTCCCGGACACGACGAGTTTCAACGGCCGTAGCGAATCCTCTGGCAATGACATTGCTGTCTGTCACGTCGAACAATGTCTCGTTATCTTGCTGTATTAACTATTTATATCATTGGGATCATTATTCCCATTATTGTTATCATTTGCCAGTGACGAAACACGCATTTTTCTATCGCGATTACAGGGTTATTTTCTACTGTTCGCTATACGACTATAGTTCCTAATCTGTGTAACTGATTTTTTCTGGAGATAATAAATAACAAATTTATTTATCGTGAAAATGTATCTCGAATTATCTAGCTGTGTACGCGAAATAAAATATGGGAGACATTAAATCATTCTTTTTGGAATTTAATTATAAAGGTATGCAGAATAATTGTGAATTCTTGGATATAGAAAATTTGAATTTGGATAAATTTAACATTTTAACACCATAAATATCGTACAAACAATAGGAGATAGTAAGAAGAAAATTTGAAAACGATATCAGTGAAGGTAGAAAATAATTCAACGACATATACGATATTTACATTACGTTTAGTGGAGATATGGACCGTGGTGGCGCTAGTGAGTTAAGTGGAAAATCCTGTCAAGGCTGCCTTAAAACGCTCACTTGTAAAAGAGTTAAAAATATAAATTTGTGAAGAAAGAAATTATTGTGAGAAATTTTGAAATTGGTACTTCATAAATTATGCTATTTTTTGATTAGAAAGGGATGAAACGATTTTCTCCCGAGAAGATGTTAAGATATACCGATGTGCACTACATTGTAATATACATTATAATCAATTCCTTTCATAAACGTAGCACATTATCAAGTAACTTACAATTTTATTCCAATGATATTCTTCCTGCTTTGTAAATTATAGTAATCATAGTTACATAGATGAATATATTTAGAGTTGCATATCTGTTCATATAGTTATATCTCCTTTTTTTCGACCATTCATAATATCGTATTTTGTTTTACATCTAATTGAATAATTCATTGACATTACCATAATAGAGAAATATACATAATCTTCGAATATCGGAGCTTATAATAATAATTAAATATGAGTATATATTTGCCCAATAATTTGTGCGTATATAGAGAATAACAAGTTATATTTTGTAGCTATATTTTGCACTACCACAAAGTTATATTTAAAAAGAAAATTAAGAATGGATTCGGGATTTAATTTTCGATTCCAACTTTAAAAAAAAATATTGTTATCTATATTGTCAATTATGAACAGCATATTTATAAAATTTCATTCAAAATAAAAATTTGGAAAAGATTAAAAAATAAATTTCTTACTTTTTGATCAGATTTTGTGATTATATTTTATCCACTGTGTGTGACATATATTGATACTCCAAAAATACACTACAACAGGAGTCAAACATAAAATTACAAAAATTAATTTTAGAAAAAATTTAAACTTGGTTATTGAAGCATCAAAAAAATATTTACAAAAAGAAATGCAAAAGAACTTATTATAGTCTTAAATTATACACAGAAGATATACCTTTATTAATATATTTTTATTTATATTTATTATTAATTCAAAATATATTAATAAACAATTATACTTTATAATT